TTCCTTTAAAACAAAAGTGTTTCTCACGTGACACAAAATTATTTTATGGTTTTTTTCTGTTAAATTTTCACTAGACTACTAAAAAAAAGCATTGTAGAGAAATGATGCTTTTGGCAAATCAGAGCTAAGATTTCAGGATCAGAGAGGCATAGCAAGGAACTGCTTACTAAGAAGTTGGCTGATCATTTCTGCTAAGAGAAGCAACATTAAAATAATAAGTTAATCATTTTATTTTGCCATTATGTTTCAGAGTCAGTCATCCAAGGCATTAAGAAAGTAAGCTTAAGTGTATCTGAAATGATTCCATGTTTCATTTTCTTAGGAAGCCAGGACAGTATCATCTAATGCTTAAATCCAAATGTGCTGAATGAAGAGAGATCTAGATAACCTTCTCTGAGAAGGCCATACCAATTTTTGCCTGGCCTTTGCCGATAAGACTCCTGTAGGGGAGAGTGTACACTTATACTCCTTGGGAATTCAGTCAGCTTCACTTCGAAATCTCATCGTTCAGCCTGTGCTGACAGCAGGAGGTTGGCCTCTTTGACAGAGGCTTAAGTTGCAGGACTGAGCATTTGAGCCCAGCTGGGTGGCACTCCATAAGTAAGGTCAGATAAGTAAGGTCAGGAGCGTACGCTATAAATGGTGCTGTCAAGAACCAAACCAGGTGTGTCCTTCATCTGTCACAGAGAGGCGAGGTGAAATTTGACAAAGATGCACTCATACAGCCCTGCTTTTCTCCCTCTCGAAAAGGGAGAGGGAAAGCCCTGTTCAGCTGTAATCCGGTAGTTAAAGAAGGGTTTTAAAGGAGAGATGAGTTTCACTGGCCTAACATAAAACGTAAGACAAGTTAAAAAGAGAAGAATGCTGAGTGGGACAAGGCAGAACCAGAAGGAATTGGAACAAATCCTTATCACTAATAAAGGACACTTTGTAACTTTTTCCTTACAGACTGGTGCTCCCTTAAGAGATTTCAGAGAAGTCAGAACAATTAATACGGAGATACCACAGCACACCCACAAGAGAGCCTAAGCTTAATATTTTTATAGGAATCTCACCAGCAAACTTTAAAAGCTTGCACTGAAGTTACTGGGAGCAAAGCAGCTCCATTTGTCTTTGTGCCTGCAGGATCCTTCAGACCTCCCAGAAGTGTCAGAGTGCCAACAATACTGTCTATCAACAAGGTTGGTTTTTTATATTACATATGACAGCATCTTGCTACATCAACATACTTCACCGCTTCCATCCTTCCAAAGTTCAAATGCAGTACAGCCCCAGCCTTAAGGAATCTCTCAACATCGTGAATTTAAGCAGCAGGGAGAGTCCCACAGCACAGTTGTGGATTTAGCATCATCGACTCCGACACCTTTAAAACCTTCAGCAGTGTGAGGAGACTGTTCAGGAAATTTTTGTCCACTACAGAAGGCTTCAGTTTCAGATCTATTATGCTCAAACTCAACCTGAGCAATAAGTTATGAACACACAGAGATATTCCGACCTGAGATTTGTATGTCACAAGGCTGACCCAACAACACAACAACAGGAGAAGAGCTGTCAAACTGATTATCAACATTTCCATCCTGTTTTTGTAATGCGAAAACCAAGTGCTTCAAGTAACACCAGTGGTGAAGCAGACAAAATGTAAGAGGAAATACATAAATGCCCTATAATTTCAGGTAAGAATATAGCTCATGAATAATGCTCTTACATTTGGCTGCTGCTTGCTTTTTCTTTTTTCCCCTCTCAAATTCAGCATCTTTAACCAATTTAAAAGCCAGCCTTGCTTACCACCTTGGACAGATTAACCCTGTTCCATCGTCCAGTGAAACGACGCTTAGCTCCTTCCAGCTGCATGCCCTGGTTAAGCAGGAAGTCAGTGCTGCCAGAAGTTTCCAGGCCACAACCCTGTGATTCTCTTGCCACTGTAGGTCTGCAAAGAGCACAAGAAAGCTACTACTCCACAAGCAGGAGTTGGGCCTGTCAAGGTAGAAATGACAGAACAAAGCCAATCCTATTTGCTCCACTATTTAAATGAAGAGGAGGTGGTTCTAAGGAAAACTTTCCTTTTTGTATGAGGCCAAGCAGCAGTCACCCAGGATGCCTGCTGTACCACACACACACCAGGCCTGAGACTCCTCCCCAGGTTTCCAGAAATATACCTGCTGGAGCTTATAGCACAGGCCAACACAGAGACATAATCATTAAACAAAACACAACCAGGACAGCTTCTATCAATACAAGATAGTAGAACACAAGCTTGTAGTGCCCAGCGGCTATGTCCAGATGGATTTGCTCATCAACCATAACAGCCTTGCCTCATTCTACCCTCAAAAAGGGACAACCCACTTTCCTGCAGGAGCTCAGCATCACAAACTGGCTGCCAATTTAACCAACGTATAGCCTAAAGGATCAGATTCAACAGCCATGTCACAACTGCACAGCCAAACAAAACTTTTGCTGGCTGACCCATCCAGTCTCTGTAATCAAGTCGTAATTCTGACCTCACTCTTTCATATTTCACAGCATATCACTGCATGTGGGGCGTTCTTTCTCTAACAGCATCAACTATGAAACAGCATAAATCTCAGGTGCACCCACACTGTATACAACTACACTACAGACAACCTTAAAAGCTTAAAATCACAGCTGAGCTGCGTGATGAGGCAGAGGAAAAAAAAAAAAAATCAAATATGCACTACATCACTGTTTCAATATTCTGACTTCAGTATGGATTGTGACTCTTCCTCTAAACTCTCCTCTGCTGCAATGGTTTTAATAATTAATATTAATGATCTCTTAATTCCTGTTGTTCCCTCGTTACCACTTTCTCAACCTAGACATACTCTCCTCCTCATTGCAAAATAAGGTGGAAGGGGTGATGAAGAATGAAGACAAACACATTAGGAGATCAAGATCCCTCCTGCATTCCACAGATTTAAAAGTAAAGTCACCCACATTACTAAAGGTCAGAAAGGTCAGCTTTGAGTAAAGCCAAACATTTAATAATTGCATGTATGTTTTCTGAGGCTTTAGAACCATAGAGTTTTTCAGTGGCATCTCTTCAAAGGTCTCTGCTGTGGTTTAGCCCAGCAGGTAGCTGAACACCACACTGCCATTCATCCACTCACACCCCCAGGTGGGATGGGGGAGAGAATTAGAAACAAAATAGAACTCATGGGTTGAGATAGAAGCCATTTACTAAAGCAGAAAAGGAAAATGGAAATAGAAATGCTATGATTATATAGCTGCAATGCACTTACCACCCATCAACCAACAGCCAACAACAACACAACTGCCTGCCCACCAGCAACACGGTGCCTCACTGTCTGCCAACCAACCTCCAGCAGCCCCCAAGCACCAGCCACGTCCCCAGCCAACGCACCACAGCTTTACAGCCTTCTCCTTGATGTCCCAAGGTGTGGAACGATTGCCTGCCTAATTCAGGCCACCTGCCCTGGCTCTGCCCCACTGAATGGGGCACCCAACCAAAGCACTGGTGTCCTATAACTCTATTTCAGCTGGAACCAGATGGGTTTTTTTATCATCTACTTCTTAGAGAATGACGAGGGTGGATTCAAGAACAAAACGACACAACTAATGCAGCTTTTCATTACCATGCATGGACAAGCAAAAGCTGCCCTAATGCACCTCGTTAAAGACACTTTTAATTAAGAAAGTAACAGTACAGAAACAAACTTATGCAAAAAAACCAACCATTTTTTAGTACAGAACTGTTGAGCCCATTTACTATCTTGAATATTCCTTGATGACCTCTGTTGAGCCTTAAACTAATGTCAAAGAAAGAACAGTTTGCCCCCAAAACATGCAGGCGTTTAGCCGATTTAAGTTAAAATTCTATCAAGTGCTTTCAAAATACTTCTTATCAAGCTAGAAACCATAACCAACTACAGCAACAGGCTTAGGGCACTGAATAAAACATTACTGGCCTTTATGTCTACCTGTACAACACTCAGCTTACAAACACATAGGCTTGATAGTTTTGTCATACTGGCTATCGCTCAACTATAGCATTCAATATTGATTAAAACTTCCAAAAGTAGGTGTTGCCCACAAAAATAATACCATAACTTTGCTTTTTAACACAGATCTAAATCCAAACCAAGACAGTGACACAAACCAACAGTGAAAAAAATATGACATCTCATTAAGTCCACAATAGCTGTTCTCTGAAATACAGAGAAGAAAGCATGAAAGGATACCGTCAGGGAGCTCCCAGGTTTGTGAAACAAACCTGTCCTACAGGAACACTGCGGGGAAGACTTCTACACAACATCTGTTCTTGTTTTACTTTGATTTACGAGAGACAACAGCAGCACATACCGTAGTTCAGTACTGCTTTTTGTTGAACCACACACTTGAAGGCCTTCTTTTAGTTTGAGTTGATTCTTGGGCACAAGTCATCTGTGCCATTAAGAACCGTAAGCTAGGATTGCTGCACGCAATGCTCATGGTTTGTCATTACATATTATGTCATGAAGATAACAGGGGGTGGCAGTCAAGGGCAGCTGATGTCTTAAACACAAAGATGCGAGTGAATCTCATGGGAGCTGACATGTTAGGCCCTCACAAACCAGCACAGCTCCAAGCTACAAAACAAACATTTCCCACCTAGGCAGCCTCACACACTCAGCATGTGATCTGATGATGACAGCTTCCCTTGGAGGAACACTCTTCTGCAGCACTGTCTCCCTTACAGTTTCACAGCTCTACATTTATCCCTTTATCTCAACACCTACTACTCAACTATCTAACGTAGGCAAGAAATACTGGGATACTGCTACCTGCTGAAAGGAGAGAAAACAAAAATGTCTTGAAAAATTTTTGTATCTTTATTTTTCTTCCACCAAACGTGGACTCCAGGAAATCCCTTATGGGCTTCTCCATTACTACTTCATTTGAGACAGAGATGATTGTTGGAGTTTTTGTTTCCCTTTGTTGTACTTCTAAGAGCATGAATGGATTCAACAGCCTATTTTACTTACCTTTCTTTTATCTTCATCTGCTGGATCAAATCTGAAAACGGCTCGATTCTGTTTAAAAAAGAAATTACATTTGTTATGCATGAACATCAGTGTCAAGATACAAAACTTTAAAGGTTTGATTAAAACCAGTCTCAGCTAAAGAGAGCAGCCACATCAGCGTGCTTTTCACACTCCACCCAACAGCAAAGGCTTTTCAAGTGTCTCCAACCAACAGCTTCAGTTACCTCGATGCTGGTGCACAACAGCAATAATAAGAATTAATGACATTGAAGAACTTCTAAGCAAAAGGTGGCAGGAATCATTGAATGGTTTGAATTGGAAGGGACCCCAAGGATCAAGCTCCAACCCTCCCAGCCACAAACAGGGCTACCAACCTCCCTATCTAATATAGACCAGCCTGACCAGGATCTCATCCAACCTGGCCTTGAACACCTCCAGGGACGGGGCATCCACAGCCTCTCTGGGCAGCCTGTTCCAGCACCTCACCACTCCCACAGGAAAGAACTTCTCCCTGACATCCAACCTAAATCTTTCCTCCTTAAGCTTAAAACCATTCCCCCTTGTCCTATCACAATCTACCCAAGTGAAAAGTTGATTACTGTCCTTTTTTATAGTCCTCTTTTAAATACTGGAAGGCTACAAAGAGGTCTTTCTGCAGCCCTCTCTTCTCCAGGCTGAATAAGCCCAGCTCCCTCAGACTGTCTTTGTAGGAGAGGTGCTTCAGCTCTAAATAAGTTCCTTTTTGGCACGAGGCTCCCAACACCACCAGTGAACCACAGAAGTTTAGGAAGACACCAACCAAGGGCAGCTAACAAGGACTGATGAGCAGTTAACCAAGAGAAGATTAACAAGAGTGGAATAATAAGAGAAGGAACAGAAATTTGAAATAACTGCAAATGGGCCAGAGGTGCTTCCCTATTGAGTTCTCTTGGCTTTTCTATAGCCCCCTGTACCTTAAAACTACATTTACCAGTCCTCCTCAGTGAAAGCATAGTTTATTGCTTAAGAAGACTAAGAAACAGAAGGAAGACCTGGAAGCTGGAGTACTATGCCCAATCTTTGCTGCCCTCCCCCCAGCAATCTATCTTAGCCATTAACATTGCACATACATAGATGTAGGAAGTGTTAGGGCAAAACTCTGAACAAGAAACACATTAAGGTGAAACATCATGCTGAGATCCACTTCAAAAGAAGCACCGAGCCACACACAACTCCAGAAATCTGTTTAAAAAGCCAGAAATCCCTGAGCAGGAAGTGTGCCAGCTCTCACTGTCTTTGAGAATTCCACCTAAGCCCAAAAACTCATTTGGGGAAGCTCCTGTGAAGGTACAGAACACAGTGCAGCAAGCACAAGAAGTGATGCGTGCACATAGATGCTTTCTAACAGCTTTTAACATAGGGTCACTTCAGAGAATAAACACAGGAGATCGAAGGTTCCCTAAACTGAGCCTCTTGCAGTGCCTTAGAAGTCTAAGAGCTAGATCAGATGAGCCCAGCAGACTCCAGAGTAACAGTCCGTCAGAGGCAGCACCCTTTGGATGCTGCCATCTCCACCATTGGACCTCACCCAGCAATACAATGATGCACGTCAGATTTTTCCCCTCACCTCAGCAATGGGAATGAGAGAATCACAGAACGGCTTGGATTGGAAAAGACCTCAAGGATCATCAAGCTCCAATCCCCCCGCCGCACGCAGGGAACCTTGAACAAAAAAGCGTAACGTTCGTTCCTGTAACAAAGCCCTGAATTCCAGCAGACACCCAGCTGGACACGGCCGCGTTCGGATCACACCCGGAGCCAAACTCCGGGCCAGCAGCGGGTGGGTGGGAGGCCGACAGGGCGGCTCAGTCCCCGCACAGCAGCGGGAACGGACCGGGGGAGCGCGGCGTCGGGCGGAGGCACTCCGGGGCTGCCCCCAAGCCTCCGCCGAGGGCTACGTGCCGGGCAGGCCGCAGGACAGCCCTCGTGTTGCGCGCACAGCGGAAAAGCAGAGCGAGACAGCGGCTCCGCCGGGCAGAGCTCTGGGCGTGGCGGCGGGCACCGCCCGGCTCCCTTCTCCTCCACCCTCAGCCCGTTACCTCCTCGTTGTACCGCAGCAGGGCCCGCTCCGCGGCCTCGGCGGCTCCGCCGTGCCCCTGCACGGCCTCCAGCACCGCGCCCAGCTCCATGGCCGCCGACACCGGCGGCCGCCGCACCCGACCTCCTGCCCCGCGCCCCCTGACGCCACGTGACGTAACGCTACGCGATGTGACGCGACGCGACGCTCGCCGTGGAAACAGTCCTGACTGGCAGGCAGTGCCCGAACGCTATTGGCCGCTAGCAGGAGGCGCCCGCACCCCAGCGCCCTCCTATTGGCTGCCTTCCTATTCGCCCCGTCCGGCCCCCCGAAGAGGACTACGCCTCCCGGCATGCTAAGCGGGGCGGCGCTGCGGTGCGCGGAGGGCTTCTTGCTGCGCGGCATGATGGGTATTGTAGGCCGCAGGCAGCCCCGACGGCGCCTGGCGAGAAGGGCGGTAGAGCGAGATATGGAGTGTGGGTTGGAGACCCGCAGGCCGCCCGGTTATCCAGCGATACAAAATCTGACACGCAGCCTCCTCGCTAGGCTTGTCCTCATCCTGCCTGCCTCTGTGCTATCTGCTCCTTCAGTGCTACAAAGCAAACAACCTGCCCCAGTGTAGGCAGCTGCCTTCTCTCAGGCAGGAGCATTTCATGGCGCCTTTGCTGCACCTGCTCCATGCCCAGCGGTGGCTGCTCCAGTGCACGACGGCTGCAGGGTAGCCTCTCTGCATGAGGGTGGAAGGGCCCCTTTACCCACCTGCCCTGTGCAAAATGGCGCCCGCTGCCAGTCTGAGCCCACAGGCTGAGTGTCCCTGGGCCATTGCAGGGCAAAGTCTACATCTGGTCCCCGAAGTGGGGCTTCATCATTACATTTGAGAGCAAAACAAAACCCACGTGAGCTGGAGGATGAAGGCAGTGCACCCCCTGGGGTTTGTAGGCCCACACACCACCAGGCCCACGTGTCCCTTCTGTGAGACAGCACAACTGCCTTCCCCAGACCACCTGTCTGTCCTCTCATGGGGGCTTGACATACTCTCTACAGGGTGTTCACGTGGGTGTGAGAAAGCAGAAGGTGTGGGGTTGAGATCCCAGTGTCTCTTCACTGTTGGGTTTTGCTCTGGAGATCTGGGAGGGCAGAGTGGGCCAACACCACACGCTGGGTGAGAGTCTGCAGTGTCTGCGCGCAGGTTGGCTACATCTCTACAGAGCACTACAAACTCCAGGTTTGAGCAACGTTAAGAAGTTAAGAAGATGGGCTTATTTCTATTGTCAAAGTGCCCTATTGTCAAAATCCACTGTTTGGATAGATGAAAGTAATATACTGAAGTTGCTACTGAAAAAGTAGCAAAATCACAGAATCACAGAATGGCCAGGGTTGGAAGGGGCCTCAAGGATCATGAATCTCCAACTCCCCTGCCACAGTCAGGGTCACCAACCTCCCCGTTTGATACCAGACCAGGCTGCCCAGGGCCCCATCCAACCTGGCCTTGAACACCTCCAGGGACGGGGCAGCCATAACCTCTCTGGGCAGCCTGTTCCAGCACCTCACCACTCCCACAGTAAAGAACTTCCTCCTGACATCCAACCTAAATCTTCCCTCCCTCAACTTAAAACCATTTCCCCCTGTCCTGCTGTTATCTACCCTTTCAAAGAGTTGATTCCCCTCCTGTTTGTAGGCTCCCTTTAGGTACTGAAAGGCTGCCATGAGGTCACCCCACAGCTTTCTTTTCTCTAGGCTGACCCTCAGCCTGTCTTCATAGGGGATGTGCTCCAGTCCCCTGATCTTTGTGGCTCAAATCCAGTTTGAAGTGTGCATCTATTTTTTTTTTGGAAGCAAGACCATGTGTATATATTAATGAAGTTTCTGGAAGAAACTTAGTCAAAGTAATCCTTTGCTTGTTTGATTTACTGTTCTATTACAAAGCATGAGCCTGCTTAGATTTACTTCACAGCATAGTAAAATATTCATTTCATTTGTACATGGTCAATTGGAATCTTTTTACTAATTAAAAAAAAAAATGCCCACAACTAAAAAAATAAAGGCTAAAAAACTGTTACTGAACCTTTAAAGGCACATTGTTATTCATCATTGCTGCATTTTGGTTTCCACTTTAGGCAGCATATGAAGGATTAGGATTTCAGTGAAAGAGGGGGATGGAATAAATTGCATCCTCTACCAAAGAACTGCCAGACCTTTTCAAATGAGTGCATACCGTGAGCCCTTCCCATGTTAGTCAGCTTTATCTAAACCTTCCAAAGCAATGTCTGCCCCTGAATTTCATGGGTTTCAGGGTCAGTCACAACAGAATTGTGAGGCTGGGGAGGTCAGAGGCCATTTTTGTCAAAGGGTAGTGACCTTAGCAGCAAGAGGTAGCCTGACAAAAACAGGATTCATGCCTGTGAATGGAGTTCTCACTGCTCTTCCCCCGCTGAGTCTTTTTTCTATCTGGTAATGAAAAATCTTGAAGAATTGTAGTGGATTTTTATATGCATACATACATGTTTGTGTGTATATAGCTATATAAATATACAGATACGTTACACGTGTTAGTTATGCTATAATACATCTTATATTGGATCTATTACATATATATTTTCTTATATTTTGGACTATGAAAAAATAAAATAATGCATGAACACGTTGGAAAACGTGAGAAAAGAGAAAACCAACAAAGAAAAAAAGAAAAAAGAGAAAGAGAAAGAATAAGAAAGAGGAAGGAAGTAAGAAAGGAAGGGAAAGGAAAGAAGGAAGGAAGAGAAGAGAGGAGAGGGAAAGTAAAAGGAAGGAAAGGGAAAAGAAGGGAAAGGAAAGGATGGGAAGGAAAAAGAAAAGGAGAAAAATAGAAAGGAAGAAAGCAGGAGAAAGAGATAACAAGTTTGAATATCTTGGCATGTGGTATGAAAACTAAAGAAAAATCTGCACCTTGCATATTTACTCCCTTTACACATAAATATTTGGCTAGGCAAGAAACATCAGTTTGAGTAACCATGGTCAAGGGAAAGGCTTAATTTACAGTCTCCAGTCTCCAACTCAGGAGGTTTGGCGATTTGTACTAGGATGATTTAAGAGATTCCTGCCCATAACCAACCATTCTATCCAGAGGCTATCGTCCTCTCTTGAGCCACCACTCTTCACAGCCTGGTATACACCCCTGTGACCTGAAAGCTGTGGTGGTTTATATTAATATGATGGGCTCTGACCTGCAGTGGTCAAGGAGGGGGCCCACTTTCCCTTGCAGAGCTGCTGACACAGATGGTGATGGTGACCTTTGCAGAGCTGTGCTCGGTGATCTATATATTGCTCCACATGAATGTCCAGTTTAAATTTCAAAGCCCTCCTTAGGAAATTGTTCAAAGGTAGCTGAAAGCATATGTTCAGACTCCTGTGGCATCCAAAGTATACGTATATTTTTAAAGACAAACTGCGGGGATCCTTTTGCAGATTTAAAAATCCAAGCTCTGATTGATGGTGAAAAGGACAGTTCCGTGGGTTTTTCTTGATTACAGAACGTTGTGATGCTGCTGTTGGTCAGAATTCCCTTTCCCACCACTTTGCACGTGGTGTTACAGTTCTCCACTCATAAATCCTGCATTGTTTCTGGTACTGACACATGTTCAGTATCCATCCTCCTTCCTGAACAACCTCCCTGACATCTCCGATGCTCTTCAAGGCGAGTTAATTGAGTTCCAGCTTTTGAGTTCATGGTAACTCCTGCCCACAAATGTCTCGTCAATGCATCCAGTCCTTGGAGAGAGCATGGCAGGCTGTGGTCAGCATTCCTTCAGGTAACTGGAGATTAATGGAGTGTTCCAATGATAGGAACTAAATGAAGGCATTCTGGTGGGTTTGTTGGATGTGAAGCTATGCAGAGATTCGGAATTCAATTAGGAAGATAAAGTGCATTTTTTCATTCTAGTGACTGCCTTTTCCATATTCATTTCTCGTAGTCTTGATGAGGCAATTATTTCTTTGCTTGTTAGTAATTAATAGGTCAGAATCAGTGCTTTGATGTAAGCACCTTCAAAAAAAAAAAAAAAAAAAAGCAAAGAAGGACTTTGGTCTCAAGCAGAATAAAACTCTAGCTGCTAAAGATAGGCTATTAAATCTTCCCAGTGTGACTTACCTTCTTCATGTGTGGATAGTTTTGCCTGAAGGTAGCTTGAATGAGATTAAATAGATCCTAGAAACAATGTCTTCTGTCCTGCCCTCACTTACTGAAAGTGAAGAGTGAGTGTATATTAGGTAATAACACCAGGTTACACGAAGAGAATTTCAGAAGGTCTGTGACACTTAGGAAACAAGATTTTCATCGGGTACCTAAAGGTGGAGATAGGCTCCTGCTATGCTTCTGATAACGTACCAGGACCTTGACTGAATGTTTAAGAGACTGAACAGTTGCTAAACCTCATCTGGAACACTCTTTGTCCCTCAATTCTTGAAGATTTCCAATTCATTCCTGTAGTTACTTTACATCCCAAATGCTCACTAGCATACACACTGATTGAATACGCAATATCTGACCAGCTTGCCACTTTATTTGCTCATCTAAGGAAGATGAAATTTCCCATTTCCAGTATTCCAGTGGCAACATGTTTGTTGTAAGTTACAGTAAAGAAAATAAAATAGAATATCTTACCTGCCTGGGTGGATATCCAGACTTAGGTGAGCAACAGTAGCAGGATATGAACCAAACAATATAAAGCCATCACCTGGCAAATGGAATGGAGCGGCCTGTAGCTGGAAGCACAGGTGGAGGACTGCTCACGTGCAGTTGGTTATACATGTTCACAAGTCATTTGCTGGGTAAAAAAATACATTGTCACTTGTAGGATTTTTTGAAGGTTTGCAGCTTCTGTATGTAAGTAAATTAAAATGGTATCTATTCAATTTCAAGAACTTTATTTGAGCATGAAAATCCCTCATATATCTTGCACAACTGTACAAACACTTATGTCCATTTTAGGCATAAATGTGGTTATTATCAGACTGAGTGCTATCAAAGATTTTATTTACAAAACAATTGCTAAAATGTCTGATGTCGTATCTCCATTTATTTATTTCTTACCCATAGGGTAATAAGTCCACCACAGTTGCTTGGTGCATTTTATAATACAGAAGAAAAAGCTATGTTAATAAAATCTAACAAAAACTCACAAATAGCTAC